TGACCCTAGGTCATAACTGTTGGCTCAAATAAGGTCAAGCAAGGTCAAAATCCAGATCAGTGTCCGAAGTGCCTTGCACCTCCCTGCGCAATCCTGCCCTATTTAGCGTCGGCGCTCATTCCAGAAATACGTTCAATCAGAAGGTTGGGCCTAAATCTTTAAAAGCTCATGACCGCCCCAGTCATACTCTCCTGCAATTTCGCACACCCATGGCTACTAACAAACCAGTACTATCACAAATAGAGAGAACGGCATTTATGTATTCTGAACTCCAATAGTCTGAACGTAGACATGCCGGGGGCGTCATGGCCGGAATAGTTATGGCTTTGGACTCCAACGCGGGGCTCCGGGGTCAAATCCCAGCTGTGCCATGGGCGCTAAGCGCTAATAGCTTTATGTTCATGTTTGTGCTGATTGTATCTACGAATAACTCCAACAAGTGACCTATTGTTCGATTCGGTATGATAATATTAGTAGTATGACTCAAACATTACAAAACGACAGCACCATGTTCACACGTTATCAACCATCCCGTCGTTTACACACTTAAATAAAAAACAAAACAATCACCGAAAATCTAAATTGTTAAAACATGTTATACAACAGCAGGCTAGCAGAGGTCACATAATGGGGCCCTACCGCCCATTCTGGTGCGAAGCTCTTTGCGGGTGTGCAGGGCGGGCAAGTGTACCGAGTCTTCGAGGCTCGAGCGTGCCGGCACTTCCATTTCAGGTGGGAACAACGTAGCCGCAATGCAGTGGGCGCGGATTAACGTCACGAGCCGCGCTCAGTGCCAACGGACGTACTCCGGCTGGGGCACGACCGCGGACGACACGAACATCTGCGCCACCGGAGAGGACGAGAACGGCGGGATCGATGCATGCAGGGTGGGTACCAAAACGACAAGCATGTGCATCGTATGGGGGATGTGCGTTGCAAAATGCTGGGTTGAGGCGGATGGCCCAGTGAACCATGCTGACGTGCGAAGGAGCATTGCTTTGCATGATATGTTTGGCTAGCTGACTGAGCCATATTGGTTTAAAAAGGATGAAATTATGATGCAAGATAGCCTTACATTGCGTTTATTGGTGTGCTGACGTGAAATTGTATGCTATGAACGCCCCGAGCTGATGCATGGTGTAAACAGCTGATGGGTCGCATACGAAAAAAGCATTGAAGTGCCACGTGTTCAAGAAGCATAGGCAGTCGTTTAAGGGCTTTTGGCCTTTACTGACAGCGACACCCATCCATAAACCGGCCCAGCACTGCTTTCATGATTAGAGACTTGCCGGGCCCAGCGTTTCATTTGGTATGTACTGAAGATCTTGAGTGCTTGCGGCCGTGCGCTGACTCTCCTCTCCCCTAGTGCTTGGGCTGTATCATGGTACGCAGCACCGATCAACGGCTGCGAACCGCCTGACGTCTGGGACTGCTGACGTCGGCAGGGCGACAGCGGAGGCCCTCTGATGGAGAGACGCCTGCAGCACAACCGACAGTCCTGGTTCGCCGTAGGCGTCGTCTCCTTCGGCTACGGCTGCGGCAACGTCGACTTTCCAGGCATCTACACCCGTGTGGATGCTTTCCTCGACTGGATCGGCTGCACGGTGGCGAACCACTGACCTCTTGGCGAGGCGGCGGGAGGATGTGTCGACGGGGTGTTGACGAGGGGGGTGTAGTTCTGAGGCAGCTCTGAGGCCAACCTCGGCAGCGATGAGGAATTCCTATGCGGTGATGAACCGTTTCCGTGCGGAACCGCCGGATGCTAGGAGCTCTCATCTACCTGATAATGTGGTGAAGCGCGCGGTGGAATACAACGTGAGCCGACCAGCGCGAGAACCGTGGCTTGACGTGTTTTGAAACCCAGCCAAGACGCATTTGTTGCACGCCGAAATTAAGGTCAATCATAATAATTCTTCCCTCAGGGTCAAAACGTCTCTATCATAAGACATTAGATATGAGCATGCAACTGGAACAGACATTTCAGTACTATTTCCTACGACCAATGTTTCGCCGCTTACGACAACTAAATACGGTGAATGGTGTCCTCAATATACATACATTAACACGCGCTTGGTTGGGGTCAAATTGATCCCCCGAAGATTTTCCAAAATGGTTTCCGAACGACACGGCATGGCCGCGCCAAATTTTGCATGGCTATAGACAATTTAATAGCGGATCATGTGACACCAAACATTTGGATATACCTTGTAAGATCGCTGACGTACGACAGGTCAAAGTCAGGACATGGTTTCAGCGAAGGCAGTTTCTAGGGAATCGCTCAATCTGATCCAACAACGGAGTGTTAGATGAAGTCATACATCTCTGAGCTACTTTCTTGGCAACATGACAACTGAAGGAGCAAATTACATTGACCTAAGGTCAGGTATGAAGATCCGACCAAGGTCAAAATCAACCTATTTTATTACTGTAGGGCTCGCTGTATCGGGTATTTTCTGGCGCTCATTTCGAATTTATTGATAACAGGAACCGTATTATACACCTCCCATCGACTACTTTAACTCGCAATTTATCACTGACCTGAAATGACCAAGATCAACATTTTGTTTTTAGGAACATGCTTCCTATCGTAATCTCAGTCGCTTATTCAAATGCAAAAAATATTGCAGTCTTGCATGATTTTGGTCACCATGACCTTCGAAAGGTCAAACAAGGTCATTGACGTTCACGTTCAATGAGTATGCGACCTTCTGCTTAGAACAGTTATCTAGGTTCTAGGGACCCTTCGGAGACCAACCTGGAATTTGTCCCTGTTTGACCTCATTTGACCCAAACGTAATGACCTAGGAACATCTAACTTTGAACTAAGGAGGTTCACGTACAGGTCAACACACCCTGTAAATTTGGTGTCTCTAGCTCTCTTAGTACCTGAGATCTCACAGGGAGCGGTCAAATTGACCGCCCCCACCCGAGCGAAAGGCATCCAACAGGCCACCGGGGTGCGTGTTAAGTGACGGTTTTTATCTTAAGATGATGAGCTGTTGAGCACGTAAGACGGTGTTTAGATGCTGTTGGTATCTCATGCTGAATTATCTTGTGTTAGCCGGCTATGATGATTTTATACGACCACACCTCGCTCCAGGTGCTGGTTGCGTGGACGCAGCTTTTGCCGCTCGTGATGCCACGGTCTTCGGCTTCTTTTTTTAACAGGCCGTTTCTGCACAAAGCCCTGCCATTCAGAAAATCGCCTCACATGGCACATTCACGCATACCATACATACGCGGACGCATCACAGAGACTTTGCTTGCCATTACCCTAGGCACGTCTGATCAGCCCTGTCACGGGTTCGGCCCTGCCACGGGTTCAGCCCTGTGACGGATTCGGCCCTCTCGCGGGTTCGGCCCTGTGACGGGTTCAGACCTGTGACGGGTTCAGCCCTGTGACGGATTCGGCCCTATCGCGGGTTCACCCCTGTGACGGATTCGGCCCTGTCACGGGTTCGGCCCTGCTCTGCTGGTCGTCTGCACTTAAATCCGTGTTTTGCCCGGTGTACCAGTCTGCCTATACTGACAAAGTAGAAAGCACAAGAGGAATGTCATATAGCACTGACACTAACCGAGCACTGACACACCCAGGAAGCAGAGGAATGGAGCCTTTTTTCTGCTCTGGTCGTCGCTGATGTGGAGGATACCGTGGGTTTAAGCTGGGGCGACGACACCGTGGACACGTGAAAACGCATTTCACACAACCTTCGCTGCTCGAGTATGTCAGATGCATGTACACGTGTTCTGGCAAGGTGAGTGAGTAATTTTCAGATTGATAATTCGATTTCCAGCACTGCGAGCTATTGACGTCATAAGATAATCTCAATTATGAGTTAAGAGGTTTTATGCTGAGTTTTCGGCCTTTCATATACCAGGAGGTACTGGTTATGCGATGTTATAGCGCAAACATTGGTCATATTGACAGTGCTCGACATTTCAAGTCGTGCTTATAATCGTGAGTGCCTCTATGATCACGGGTACCCCAAGCCGTGCTTAACGTGCAAGCCGTGCAAACGTGAAGGCGCCCCTTTAAACGCTACCTTAGGGCGCCGATGGCGCTCTTCTTTGGCGGTCATGGTAGACGGCACATATTTTGGTTGTGGGGGAGGGGGACGGGGTTAGCCATGAATGACTTAGACCATCTCCATTTTCCAGAGCTTTTCACTTTAACCTCATAAACCATTGTGTGCCTTATGGCGCCAGGTATGTGAAGTTTATTGCATCGTTAATCAGCTCGACTGTTACGATTTGCATCTTCTGGTGAGAGCAGCCACGACTTTTTGTTGTGAAAGTGGTACGAGATGCTACTACGCAGACAGACCAAAGAAAATAGTCTTCGTGTTATGATCATCAGTTACCCATGGTTTACTGTAGTATTCCCGCCAAACAAAATTCGAGGGCCATGGCAACATTGGGGGGGGGGGGGGGGGCAGGGCCCTCACAAAAGAATACAAATCGGCACCCGTGCGCGAAACTCAACACGAGTCAGCAACTCACACTTAAAATACATCTCTGGTGAATGGCGGCGTTTTCGTTCTGAAACATTTGGGGAAGTGATGCCAATTGGTTCCACAACATGGTCGGCAGCTGGAATTTCATCGGTTGCTTTCAAGAATGCTCACTGCTTTTTATGTCTCTTTCGTGTACTTGGTGGCTGCAGTGGACATTCCGACTTAGAACTATTCAGCCTGTGTTTAAAAAAGTCGGTATTGCTGACATTAATCCAGTCAGTGGTGAAGTGCCCAGTTTATGATTCATACAATGTGGCAATACAGCGATATTTTCGTTGCTTTGAGTTTCCTTGGTAACTGGTTCCCTACCAAAATCATGTGATCCAGCGCGTTATCGATAATTCCTAGTTGAAACCATTGGCAACGTAAAGTTAGTATGGAATACTTTTGGACATGTAAGACATTATTTAATTGGCGATGAAAGTAGTAAATAGTCATTTAGTCCGATATCATTAACACGAAACCTTTCAAATATCTATTTATTTCTGCAGCAAATCGATACTTATGGTCACGGGACAAATGGTGACGAAGAGTGGCGCGAGTGTTTCAGAAGTCCGTTTCTTTACGTGCTGGGTGCGGATGTCTGTATTGTGGATTGTGCGTGGGGTTGTTCCGAAGTAGTTCTGTGGTCATAGTATTTGCTTACTCCAGTAATCTTTGAAAGGCTTGATAACGTGCCAAAAAAACGCCGCTCGTATATATTAATTGCAGCAAGAAGTGAAACATGATGAGTCTAATGAAGATAATGTTCGCGCTGGCTATGGCCAGCTTGTCTATGGCTGAGAGAAACGCCCCAGCTCTGGTGTGGGAATCGACAATGTAAGTAGACGATCTGCTAATTTAAAGGCATGAATACTGGATATGTGATCACCATAAGTTGGTGAGAAATATTTTGTGTTTGTCAGATAATGAAAGTCTAGCTCAGTAATGTATATACCCTTGTGTTGTTATTTTCACAATTTGTGGGATATGATAGCATTTTTATGGCCTTACATCTTGGAGTTGACTGGATAAGCAACTAATATATTCAAATTAAGGTTATATTATTCAGCAATGTGTTGCAAGGAGTTATTGGTATGGGTTATTTTTTCTCAATATGCTAATTTTGTCATGTGCTTTATGCCCATATGGATGCAACAAGCTTGATGTGCTTATTATGGGTACATACTTAGTTTTGCTGACTGTTACATCCTTTATATTCTCAGGCTTGAAACAAAAATGCCAGAATTGCCAGCACTTCCAGCACTGTCCAACTCCCAGCTTCAAAACCTTCTAGATTCAATGGATGCTGAGGCCTTGGTGATGTTTGTCATGAATGAGGTTGGTGATTTCTCAAACTTTTTGTGTTAATTCAACATCTGGAATTTGGTACATGAGTAAGAGTTGCACATTGTGTGCCTCTTTTTTGTTTTACATGCTTTTATGTTGGTATGGGCTCGGGGTATACATTGCTACCTCATGTTAAGAAAGAACATTGTACATCAATTGTCATTTTTAAGGCAGAACACATTGTAATTAATTGTAAAACAAGTCATCTAAACTCTTACCTAGGAACTTAAATAACTACAATAGCGAACAATCGAGCACCGCAAACATGCAGCAACTGCGACCCCCAGCGCCATTGCTACATGTAATCACATTACTGCATCATCACAACATTACTGCGCATCAAGAACCATAAAAACGTATGAGGCCAAGGTAACAAGAATCCAGTGAAATATGTTTCTTGTGTATCCAAGCAGTCTTCTGTACTGTTTGCAGAGCAGTGAACATGGTAGGGAAATCTGATGTTTTTTGGGGGGGAGTAATAAGCAAAATGAGAATATGGTGGCTAAACAAAACTTCTTAATATGGCACATATATATGGCATGGAACATGGATGCCAATGGGACACTTGGTTGAAGGGGATAGTGTGGGGGTTAGGTTCAGTTAGGTTGAGTTAGGTTAGCTTAGCTTAGCTTAGCTTAGCTTAGCTTAGCTTAGCTTAGCTTAGTTTACTTTAGTTTAGTTCAGTTTAGTTTAGTTCAGGCTATATTCCGGACTATTCTGGCCTGTCCATTTCATAAACGTACTTAGACATGATAAAAAACGTTTTTTCATTGCATTGTTATTGTTACCTTGGCCCTGTACATTTTTATGGTTCTTGGTAAGCAGAAATATTGTAATTATGCAACGATAATGCAGAAACGGCGCTGGGGAGTCAAGACGGTGGGGTGGGTGCGGCTCTCAGGAGCTCGCTATTATAGTTATTAAAATTTGAAGGTAGGAGCATGAATCTACCTATTTTATGATTATTTATAGTTTGTGCTGCCTTAAACATGACAAGTGATGTACAATGATTTTTTCTAACATTAGGTACCAATGTGTACCTACACCTAGTATTGTCTAAGTGCATTGCACCTGCACTATAAAATGCAAAGTCTTTGTGTGAATGCTTAGGCTCTGCTTTAATTTAGTGATGAACTTCTCTTTTGGCATTGTAAAACTGTAGTCTTAGGAGGTGTGTAAGGTATCACCAGAAGCTATTTTACACAATGTCTAGGCACTTTGTGGAGGAAGGTTATAATGCTATTAGTGGTATTATAGTAGTAATTGAGATAGTACAGACTGGTATGTGCAGCTCAAAACTACATTAAAAGATAAGCAGGCTGTTTTTATATTTTCATCTGCTTTTAATCTTATGTGGTAACCTCACTTAAATGTGTTAAACATTTTCAGCTCAATGTAGAAGACTTCAGTGGATATCCAGAAGCTCTCTCTCATTTGCAGCAAGAATTTGAATCATCTCAAAGTGCCTTCACTCCAAGCATGGCTGATCCATCTCAGGTATATGCATTTATATTAACATCATGATACTCATGTGTATGCTACTTAGAATAAGTACTTGATTCCCTATACATCTATCTAGTTGTGTTGTAACCATTCAGAATGGGTAGAGTGGATGGCTTTGGGTTCAGAGCACCATCAGGCAAAGCTTGCCATGTGTAGCCCAAATCCACCACCCAAGTTGTGCTGTCCAGTCCAACAGATAATTTTGTGTGGGGCAGGTGTGCCAGGATAATTTTGCCTGGTCCTTGCACCTGACAGGAGGCCCTTTTATCAGACAGGAATGTGGAGGGTGGGGGGTTTTGCTGTGCACAGCCACCCCAGTAAGGCTCCCCCTGCAGCGTGAGTTGACCTGGGTTAAGTCAAGTTGAGAGGCATTTAGACTTAAACTCAGACCTCCTGGCCTGAGTTTAAATGATGTCATGTTTATTTGGTTTGTATTAGCTTCCAAACCCTATGAAATGCAGGATGGTGCCATTTGAAAACAATTAGTTTCATAAGCAATTGCACAGGTCATGTTGAGACAGGTTTGCCTGCTGCTCGACTTACTGACCACCAGTGAATCGCTTGCCTGCTGGGAAGCACACAACTGGCTGGTACCAGCCCCACTCCCTTTGCCCCAGGTGCCAGCACTCCTGTCTACCTACGCTCGTGTCACTGTCGACCTGAACAACCTGTCGGCATTGAAACTGGCGCCTGCCGCACGCAAGACCCTCTTCCTGGTGTATCTGAATGACAAGCCAGGTGCTGATCGTGCCACGGCACTCCGCCAGGCAGGTCAGTGACTGGCAGTGCGTGTCACTGCCGGCAGGTGGCGGTGTTCTGCACTGATCACCAGGCTGTCACGCAGCAGCCTAACTGCCTGCTGCTTGTCCGCCCAGCGATGTGTCAATGTATGGAATGGGGGGAGGCAGTTGGTATTTTGGCTGTTTTCACTGGTAAAATCAGTGACATCTCAGTCTGATATTCATCAAGCTATGAGGCAGGGGAAGCTCAGCAGGTTGACATGCAAGACATCTGTATGTAACCCTCCTAACCCATTTGCTGAGAAAATATGTCTAGTACTCTCCATGGTTCAGAGGAGGAGATTAAGTGATACATATTGTGCTAATGATGTTGTGATGATGCAGTCTAAGGCGTCTCCAATTCTCTTTGCCAAAATTCTCACAGTGGCTCTCACTGCTCGGGCAGGGGGCATGCCATCTCCTCAGTCCTGGATGTCTGGTGTAGACGTGGGTGTAGTGACATGCGTGTTCTGGCGGCACCAGACGCCACTGTCTCGCAGGTGCTGACCAAGGTGAAGAGCCTGACTGGCAAGTACTCGGCCGTGCTCACTGGCAAGCACACCACCATGGTCAGTAGGCTACTAGGCAACTCCCTTTACCACCCCTGAGTCGCGTCTGGCTCTAGTCCTATCTGTCTTGGTGTGTGTGTGTGTGTGTGTGTGCGGTTAGCGTACTTAGGATGTCTGGAAACAATGAGAGATATGTTAAATAGCATGTCCATTATGCTTTGGATTCCATCTTCCTTTAGCAGGATAACTGAGAGGCCGGCGTATTTCTGCCGCGAATGGCCAGGCCTTGGTCTTACCAAGTGTTTTATAGTGTCGAGCAGCGACCACGAGCAAGCTCGCTCAAAGCTGGCTGTGTGCTGCTTGTCGCGTGGTGCGCCCGTGTGCGTGTGTGCGTGTGTGTGTGTGTGTGTGCGCGCGCGCGCGCGCGCGCGTGCGTGCGTGCGTGCGTGCGTGCGTGCGTGCGTGCGTGCGTGCGTGCGTGCGTGTGTACACGTCGAGGGGCCCGCTGCCATCCGGCGGCCGGCGGCCGGCGCCTGACGACATTGGTGCCGCGCCAGGGCGGCGAGACCGGGGGCCGGGCCACGCGCAGTCTGAAGGCGGCCGCCGCCGACGAGCCGGGCAGGGAGTATTTCTTCGACATGAACTGTATCTACATCTACACCTCGGCGCCCCCAGTGATGCACTTCACCCCTAAGGAGGGGGCAGCAAAGCCGTGAGTGGCAGCTGACGCTGGTATTTGTTATCTGCTGGCGAGAGCCAGAGCGGTTCAAAGCAGCTGTTTTGCATTTGCAGCAGTCTGGCTGCAACAGTCTGCGTTCGGAGGTCTTACGCAGATTTTCATCAAACCCTTTGCCGGTTCCAGTTCAACCCGTCTTTCTGTATCCCACTATGCCATGACATGGGTAGAACACCTCAAATGGCAGCGTGATATGCTCAGACTGAATGCCACCGGCCTACACGCGTTAAGCGTTAAAACCTGGTGTAACGTCTCATTGTGTAAAGCGCTTACATGCGGTTATAATTGATCGGGCCACCACGTAAAGAAATGAATAATTGTGTCATCTGTCCAAATGCACAGGTGGATATCCAAGGGCATACCACCGAACCATGCTTGGCTGTGGGTTGCTTCTCTGTGAGACGTGTTCACAGATAAAAAAGTTTATGCACGCCTGCGTCGGGAATCGTCACTCCCTCGCCGCCACCTGCTCCAGCGGCAGATGGAGTCATAAGATACTCGGCCGCACTCGCCTCCAAGGCGTTGTGTTTGTCGTGTCCGGCATCTGTAGTTGCACACCCAACACGCCCTGGCCCTGTGCGGAGCTCAGCCGCTGGCGCTGATGCCCGCGCCCGATCCTGGCAGCATTACGGTGTCGCTGAACGCCTCCCTGGTGACGTCCAACTCGAGCTCGTGCGACGGCGACGGCGTCCAGACGGCCACCATCGTCTGGGAGAGCGTAACCGGGAGCAGCGCCGGCGGCAACTACGACCTGTCCAAGGTCACACTGACGTGAGTGGCGGCGCTTTGCACGGAGCGGAGGGGGGGGGGGAGAGGGGCGTCCGGTCCCGCTTGCGGACTGAGTGGCATCAGAGGCACGTCAGAGGCCGGCACCGGCTGGGGCTTCGCTGGCGGACCAGAATAGGTTGGCCAGAAGGAGCGGCGCGTGTTTGTACACTGTGTCGGATGTGAGGGAGGAAGATTTGACCCGTCCCTGTGAGATGTGGAGGGAGATTTGGGCCGTCACTGCGGGATGTGGAGGGAGATTCGGCCCGTCACCGTGGGTTGTGAAGGAGGGAGATTTAGGCCGTCGCTGTGGAATGTGGAGGGAGATTTGGGCCGTCACTGTGGGATTGGAGGAAGATTTAGGCCATCGCTGTGGGATGTGGAGAGAGATTTGGGCCATCACTGTGGGATGTGGAGGAAAATTTGGGCCATCACTGGAATATGAAGGAGAGAGATGGGGCCATCACTGTGGGGTGTGGAGGGAGATTTGGGCCATCACATTGGGATGGGAGGGAGATTTGGCCCATTTTGTCCAAATATCTGGAATCTGTCGTGCAGTCAAGCATGTGCGGGATGATATCATTTGGCAGATTCATTGGGATGCTTGTTTTCTTTCGTCAGTTATAGGAAGCAGAAAGTTCTGCAATGTGAAGCTCTCCATACTGTCCAGAGCCGAGCACGGAGAGTGCACGTGTGAGAGAGCCGCCGTCCACCAGTTCCGTTGACGAGCTGGTGGCGGTGACGGTGACGAGGTCCTGCTTCGCTGCGCCAGGTACACGTTCTTGGGCCACATGTCGAAGCGGGAAGGTGCCGATGACAAGGTGTCGGCCTGGCTGCTGACGCCGGTGACGCTGCTCTACTCGGGCTCGGTCGGAGGCGTGACGGCCACTGACATGAACGTGACGCTCGACTTTGCCGAGGTGTACGCACCGAGCGGCTTCTCCTACCACTGCACCAGCCGCAAGTGGGCGGCAGAGAGCAACAGCAGCGACGCCAACAGCCTGAGCTCGCTCGAGTTGCCCGACTTCCAGGTGGGTGGTATACGGCGCGCGCTCGGGTTGGGCCGGCGCTGGTCGGTCGCCGAGCGGCGGTCACGCGGTGGTCGGTGGCCCCGCTTGATGATACGCGGTCTGGCGTCACCCACCGGCCAGCAGCCGGGAATCAGCCGGGGGCTTGCCAGGTGGCCCGGCCGCTGGTCAGTAAGTAGCTGGCCTGACCTGGCCAGGTGGCACGGCCGCTGGTCGGTGAGTAGCTGGCCTGACCTGGCCAGGTGGCCCGGCCGCTGGTCAGTGAGTAGCTGGCCTGACCTGGCCGGGCGGCCCGGCCGCTGGCCAGTGAGTGTCTGTCCTCAACTGGCCAGGTGACCTGGCTGGGCAGGCGCACAGCCGGGCCACATACACGCGCGCGGGACGTTGACACTGCTCCGGTCCGGCCCCACAGGTGCAGGCGTTCATGGTGAACGAGACCAGTTCATTCGGCCGCGCCTGGGACTGCACGCCGTTCTTCACCATCCCGATCTGGTCGGGACTGTTCCTGTCGCTGATCATGCTTGTCATTCTCGTCTGGTCGCTGGCGATGCTGGCCAGCGTGCCGACCATGGACCGGTTCGACGACCCGCGCGGGCAGCCGCTGCACGTGCCCACGGCCGAGTAGTAGACACGACCCGCGCGGGCGGCCGCTGCACGTGCCCACGGCCGAGTAGTGGACATGACCCGCGCGGGCGGCTGCTGCACGTGCCCATGGCCGAGTAGCGGACACGACCCGCGCGGGCAGCCGTTGCACGTGCCCACGGCCGAGTAGCGGACACGACCTGCGCCGCTCTCCGAACCGGACATGTCTCCAATAGTACTCAGTAGAGGGCGCCGACCATTCCACGTAACCGGGCGCGATGATGTGTTGAATGTGCTAGTTGTGAACACATGTCCTATTTGCGTCTGTTATCGACGGCGTATGGCCGCTTCTCATAATGGGGATTCGAATATGGATACGTGAATGCTGCGCTCAGCGATGTGCTCATGCATCGGACGTTGTTGCAGTGTAGTGCTGGAACTGCGTGATGCTGCTCTGCGAGGTGGAACGCAGTCTGATTGGCATGTGTGGATTTCGTTGGCGCTACAATCGCTTGGCCGCTAGCGTTAATGATTTCGTCATGTGAAAGACGTCTCAATAAAGAACCTTCAACACGGTGTTCATGTGTGTTTGGGGTGGCGAATCTGAGTTATCGATTTGTATGAAAGGCTATTTACGTGATGTAAGACTAAATTGCACACGTTAGAAATGATTGACTGCATCCATGACTGAGCAGTCCAATTCGAATACACGTCAAATTAATTACCATGAAACAAAGTCATGATCGGTCTATAAGGCTCGTGACGTGCCTTTCCACGCTGCAGCGCTAAGCAAACCGGCGGTACAGCATTATATTAGTGGCGGGCGTTGCTCCAGGCACGAGCTCCCCGGCAGGTCCTGCGTATGCAGCCAGGAGGGCGAATACAGGACTGAAGGTTTTGATCACCGTTTCCGTTCCAGCAATTGGCTTTCGCTCGGCCGTCTCGGTGCATTATGCATTCCGCTGATTTCCTGACAGATTTCCGCTGACCCTGACCATGTAAGCTTGAATGTTACCTATGCTGCCTGGCGGACCACTTGCCGTTCGGTGACTCATCTGGAAATGCCGCCTGGCGGGCTTGGTTAGAACTGTGGTCGGCCACCTGGCGGGCGCGGCTGAAACTGCGACCGGCCGAGGGGCGCCGGCGGCTCCGGCTCGCGTGGCGCCGGCGTGCCCACCTGGCTGTGGTCAGTACAGGCGCACGTGTGGCGGGGAGTGAGCGTCGACCGGGGCACTGGGTGAGTACTGCTGCCGAGTGGCGTCAGGAGACGGGGGAGGGGATAAGGGCGGATCGTCAGGTGCGGTCACGGATAGGAACATCACCAACAGAGGCCGGGGCCCCCGTCCCCTTCCTCGGATCTTGTCATCCCCCTCCCACCCGGTGTCGCAGCGTCGGTCACATTACCCCAGTGGCTTGAATCCCAGACGCTTTGTTTGGCCCATCAGAATAACAGTTGTGTGGCCAGATCGTTAGATAGATCCCCTCCCTCCCTCCAGGCATTAAATCCTGGTGTCGCACCTGGCTAGCAATGCCGCATTTTGTGACTCATGCTCGAGGCTTCCGTTTATTAGTGAATGCTGGTCGGACGCCTGTGGCACGAAAGCTCGGCGCCTCTAAAACACATACTCGGTTATTGTCATACACAAGCACAAAGTGTTGGTTAACATTATACGCAAGAATGGTCTTCGGAATCTCTGGGCTGCAAACTGTATTTATTCCACGGCGTGACAGACTCTGATCGCCCATCCGCAGCGGGCAATGCACTGGGCTTGTTTACGTCGTCGGCTGTTTGATCTGCGGCCTTATTTTGGTGATCGGCGCGCTGATACTGCGCTAGTTCTGCGGTCACCTGTCGTCCTGCGCGCTGCAGCGGCCCGCGCCTGCAAGTCGGACGCAAAACGACGTAAATGGAAGTGGCAACGCTTTTGATGTGCAGCTGGTACTCGACAGCCTTGCGTGTCTCTTTTTCGGCTGCATGTGAGCACGGGTCGGCACAGATGGCCAACGCCATGGCGCGGTGGACCCGCGAGGTCGGCGCGTGGTGTGGACGCCGCGGCGAGCGCGCGTCACGTCACAGGCCCCACGAACGACCGCCGGCCGGCCGAGCACGCTGCGGCGCCGGTGGCAACGCAGCTGCCAGTGGCAGGCGCCGGCCTGAATGTGGGCAGTGGTCTGTTTGTTGGCCTGTTAGCAGTGACTCCGTCGCGGCTGATTGTCGACGCCCAGTGCAAAACTAAATGGCAATGTCGCGGCTCGGTAGCGCGCTCCGCTGGGCTGTGCGCTCCCTGGCGTCGCTCCAATGCGAGGGGGAATTTTCTGAGCTGTACGCGTTCCCTGGCGCTACTCCGAGGCGAGGGGCAATGTTCTGAGCTGTGCGCTCCTTGGCGTCGCTTCGAGGCGAGGGGAGATGTTCTGAGCTATGCGCTCCCTGGCGCCGCTTCGAGGCGAGGTGTAATATCCTGAGCTGTGCGCTCCCTGGCGTCGCTCAGAGGCAGGGGGCAATGTTCTGAGCTGTACGCTCCCTGGCGTCGCTCCAAGGCGAGGGGCAATGTTCTGAGCTGTGCGCTCCTTGGCGTCGCTTCGAGGCGAGGGGCAATGTTCTGAGCTATGCGCTCCCTGGCGCCGCTTCGAGGCGAGGGGCAATGTTCTGAGCTGTGCACTCCTTGGCGTCGCTTCGAGGCGAGGTGTAATGTTCTGAGCTATGCGCTCCCTGGCGCCGCTTCGAGGCGAGGGGCAATGTTCTGAGCTATGCGCTCCCTGGCGCCGCTTCGAGGCGAGGTGTAATATTCTAAGCTGTGCGGTCCCTGGCGTCGCTCAGAGGCAAGGGGCAATGTTCTGAGCTGTACGCTCCCTGGCGTCGCTCCCAGGCGAGGAGTAATGTTCTGAGCTGTACGCTCTGGCGTCGCTCCAAGGCGAGGGGTGATGTTCTGAGCTGTGCGCTCCTTGGCGTCGCTTTAAGGCGAGAGGTAATGTTCTGAGCTGTGCGGTCCCTGGCGTCGCTCAGAGGCCAGGGGTAATATTTTCTGGTGATTAGCTCCGGTCTAAACATGAAGGGGGCAGGAGCGTTAGGTCTAAATGTTTCTGGGTTAGTAGATATATCCATCTGGCGAATCCTAGTCGAAATGTTCAACGGTTCTTTGGATAGATCATGCATAAAAAGGTAGCTAAACAACGTGGCTCTTTAATAAGCTCATGTCTTCAGCTTGTGAAATAACAAAGGCTAAACACAAGCGTTCCATGATTTGAGTTTTCGACCCGATTTTATGACCATTTGCGGAGAAAATCGGTGTTAAAAAGCTGCACAAATAATTCGAACGTGGTAATGCCTTTTCAAATAAGTTGAATCAATATTGTAAAATTATTGGCATTTGTTTCTTCCAATTCACACTTTTGTTTTATGTTCGCTTATGTCCGACTTTGTCTATGGTGTCTTAGCTCCTCGTAAAGATTAACGAACTCGTCTCTCTTTCGAAACGTGGGCGTTTTTACATGCATTTGAACGGAATGAAATGGAATGGACTCCTCTTGAATGAAATGGAACATGCCTGTGTGTGTCAGCCCCATTCCTGAGCCTAAATTCCAATGGTCGCCCGGCATCCCTCAGCGCGGTGTTCGCAGCAGCCGGTCCGTGCCAAAACACACGTGACTTTCGCATATATGCTTGACCCCTCTAATCAGCACGACCGTGTGGGGACCGACAGCTCTGTCGATAAGCTCTGGCAGAGTCCTAAGAGTGACTACCACAGAGTCGTAGAAGTGCCCACAGACCGGCACCTGAGCGGTGAACAGGGCGAGGAAAGCCAACCGCCGCTCACGTTTTCCGTTGGACCGTTGCGGCCGCCACGGCGCGTACCTGTATCAAGAACGTGTCACGGCGCCTGTTCGATGGCCTTGATGGATAGTGGACGGCCCGGGCCGGCGGCGCTACCATTACGTCCCGCCCGTCGCCGTCCCCATCCGCGCCTTCCAACATCCAGGGTCAAGCCATCAAATTTCGGCCCAAACTGACAGCCGACTCCCGTCCGGGATGGAGCGGCCGCGAAGCTTCGGTGCTCTATCGTGCTGTCACGGCATGCAGATGTGGCGGACGGCTGGCGAGTCCTGGACTCCGCGGCGCCGAGCCCAGCCGACCGCTGACCGCGTCGCGCGACGGCCGGCCGGGGCCGCTCGCCGCCGAGACCGGGCCGCCCGTCGCGAGTGGCGGCTAATCCGACCGGGTTCCGGCGCATGTCAGCAGCACCCGTTCTACGTCATTCCTCGCGAGCTGTCGTGCCGCTCGTGCCGGCGCGGCCGGTCCCAGTGCTCTTGACCCGGCACCGGGCGGCCCATGCGGACGTGAACGAGGAGGTTGACAGGCGGACAAAGCCCGGCGCAGGCTCGGATACTTGAGATGCCCTGTTTTTGTGTGCTCTTTCGGAGCACATGGTCGCTTACGATGCGTATGCGTCATCGGACCCGACCAAACCAGCGATGAATGCACGCACTTGAGTACGCGATCGAATACTCGTTGGATCTCCTCCGACTGAGCTGCCACTGAGCTCGGGCGACCTTCGTGTACCAGAGCTGACCCCCGGCGTCTGTCGGCGTCGGCCTTTGTCGCACCCGCCTGAGGTCAGATGACCAGTCCGCCCATGCCGACACCGGGTAATCCATGTCTGCTTGCCCTGACGATAACCACTAGCAAACGAGAGTGGGCCCGACGGATGTCGGGTAACTCTCAGCACGTGGCGGCTCTAGACGCCTCGATGCTCTGCCGCCATAGCGGGGCCAAGTAGTTCCTGCGGCCAACCAGTGGGCGGACATGACCACCGGCCCCAGTTCGCTGGACGTGCCGAGGGCAGCAAAGCTCTTGAACAACGGTGACGCAGCGGTCGGATGCACCGGCCGTCCGGCGCCAGCTGAACGTGCTGCTGGCGTCGAGGCCCCCGCTGCCAGAGGGGAAGCTTCGGCTGCAGCTCCCCGGCCGCCCGCCCACTCCCGGCATTTCCGGCGCTGACAGACATCGCGGCTGCAGCGCCGGCCCAGCGTTGGCGGCGCGGCATTACAATACTGTGGGGCCTATCGCGCTGGTGGTTGACATCTGTCGCGCTTCAGCCGCGCGGCGGTGTTCCGGTGGGCGCCTGAACGGCCCCCCTCTGAAGTCTGCGGCGAGGCTCACGTTCGTGCCTATCGAATCTACTTGGAATCGTTGTTTTTCATCGTGAGCATGCGGGATGCCAACATGCATGCAAGCAAACAAAGAAGGAACGTAACTAGGTAAGGTCGGAACGACCAGAACAGTGCAATCGCGTCTAGTGACAGCATAAAATGGCATTTGTGACGTCAAATTGTGTACAGCGGGACTTCACCAGTACTATTGTCTTTGTTCTTTATTTATGTCTTCAGCACTGGTACAATATGGGAACGTTTCTTCGGGCTCAGACCCCCGGTATGACACATAAGATAGAGTTAATTGGACTCCAGGTCTCCAGGCCCTGACAGAGTTAGTGGGACTCCAGGTCTCCAGGCCCTGACAGAGATAGTCGGACTCCAGGTCTCCAGGCCTGGATAGAGTTAGTTGGACTCTGCCCCGCTCACCCC